CGGGCCCCACGCGGGCCCCCGTGCGTGTCCAGGCTGAGCGTTCCCAGGGGGCGGGCGGGAGGTGTGCTGTCCCTGGTTGTGGGGGACATTGACTTTTAAGGCAGCTTCAGAATTTAGTAATTACATTCTTATGGCGCTTTCTGCCGAAACATCAATCCTCCGGGAGGGCTGACTTGGGCTTTCTTTCCGTGTCAGTCTTTAACTCAGAGAAGGAAGGCCTTTCATCCCTTGGCCACTCCACGTGTCCCTCCCGCCTCGCTAGCCAGCATGTAATTTTCTCAATGGCTTGTGGACCCCACTGGAGAGACCAGGTGTACACAGATAACGCGTTTCCTCCCCCGGGGGCGTGAAACCACCTATTGTTTCTTTGGAGGCTCCTGGAACCCGTGGAGCCATGTGCTTGGCGAGGGGACGGTGCCGGGCAGCGGGCCAGCTGTCCCAGAGCCAGAGGAGAACATGGCGCGTCTTCGGTCTGGGTCTTTCCGATTAGACTGCTCACATTTTTTATTAGCTCTGTGTTGGGCGAGCCCCTCCCTCAGTTCGTGGGCCACACTGTGGGGGCACTTGCGGGCGGGAGGTGTGCTGTCCCTGGTTGTGGGGGACATTGACTTTTAAGGAAGCTTCAGAATTTAGTAATTACGTTCTTATGGCGCTTTCTGCCGAAACATCGATCCTCCGGAGGGTCGGCTCGGGCTTTCTTTCCGTGTCAGTCTTTAACTCAGAGAAGGAAGGCCTTTCATCCCTTGGCCACTCCACGTGTCCCTCCCGCCTCGCTAGCCAGCATGTAATTTTCTCAATGGCTTGTGGACCCCACTGGAGAGATCAGGTGTACACAGATAACGTGTTTCCTCCCCCGGGGGCGTGGAACCACCTATTGTTTCTTTGGAGGCTCCTGGAACCCGTGGAGCCATGTGCTTGGCGAGGGGACGGTGCCGGGCAGCGGGCCAGCTGTCCCAGAGCCAGAGGAGAACATGGCGCGTCTTCGGTCTGGGTCTTTCCGATTAGACCGCTCACATTTTTTATTAGCTCTGTGTTGGGCGAGCCCCTCCCTCAGTTCGTGGGCCACACTGTGGGGGCACTTGAGGTCAGCTCTGGGCTGACCTGACACACAGGCGCTTGACCCCTTGAAAGAGGGGTTTGGTTTTATTTTGTGGGTGTTTGTTGGGTTTGCAATGACATTTTTGTCTCTACTGATCTAGGGCTAAAATGACAGCAGCCCCCTCTTTTAGTCAAACCCAGAGGCATCTGCCTGGACTTCAGAAGAGGGGGTTCTATAAACTTTCTTGGCATTTTCACAGCTCTGAGTAGAAGCCACTGCTCCTGGGAAGCTAGTGTTTGTGTCTCAGGATGGAGACATGACAAGTTTAATATGTTTGTTTCTGTTAATATGATAAGGACATTCACCAGAGAGCTGGAGCCTGCGGATGCTGGAAAGAGAGGCGTGTTCTGGGCGCCTCTTGAACCGAATCTGTAAAGTCTTAGCCGTGTGGGAGAAGAGACAATAATTTTCCTCCCACCTTTCTAAGCTCTGGCTGGGCTAACAATCAAATTAGCATGAGACGAATGAACAGGAGAGAATGTCCCAAATTTCTTGTGGATGTGCGTATGGGGTCCCGTAAGAATGTGGGGCCCAAGGACAAGTCAGGCCGAGGAGGTTTATATGCCATTCGTAGCTGGAGAGGAAGGGGGGAAGGTTGTGGTTTGAGACTTCAAAGGGCAGGACGGCCACTCACCTGGGCCTGGGAAAGCCAGTGTTTGGTAACTGAGTGTTTGCTGGGCCCTCAGCAACCACAGGGCCTCGCCGGGTTCCTCTGTCTATGACCCTTAGTTCTTAGTAACTGTGGTTACTGTGATGTAGCTGCCTCCCTGGACAGGGCCTCGGTGTAAATATCAGGGGGAAGGTCAGGAGTTCTCTCTGCATCTTCTGTTCCTTAAAAATAACCAGGTTAAAATATTCCATGTCCTAAAGAGGCACACGTTGGGGTGACGAACTCTGCTCCCCCTCAGCTGATGGCAGGCACAATAGAAATTGGGTCTGGGATGGTTTTCTCCTTTGATAAGCAGGCATCCATTTTAAAAATGTACATTTTTATTGATTTCAGAAAGAAAGGGACAAGGATAGAAAGATCAATGATGAGAGAGAATCATTGATTGGCTGCCTCCTGCATGCTCCTTCCTAGGGATTGAGCCCCAAATCAGGTCATGTGCCCTGATCGGGAATTGAACTGTGATCTCCTGGTTCATAGGTTGATGCTCAACCACTGAGCCACACCGTCTGGGCTGGCACACATATTTTTAAAAAAAATGTATATATATTTTTATTGATTTCAGAGAGGAAGGGAGAGGGAAAGAGAGAGAAACAACAATGATGAGAGAGAATCATTGATTGGCTGCCTCCTGCATGCCCCCCCCCCCACTGGGGATTGAGCCTGCAACCCCGGCATGTGCCCTGATCGGGAATCAAACCCAGGACCCTTCAGTCCGCAGGCTGACGTTTATCCACGGAGCCAAACCAGCCAGGGCATGGCATCCGTTTTTAGAGGGATATTTAACATGCTGAATGAGGGCTGGAGCCAGAGACCCTGAGAGAAAGCCACCTCTTGAGGTCCATCCCCTGGGATCGAGAACTCCGCATGCTGGGGAATGTCAGGAGACCACGCAGCCCATGAGAAACCGTAGGTACGTCGTGGCGATGGTTCTATTTGCTTGGTGGAAGGCGGATCACGCAGGCAGGCTCCTGGCTCCTGGTTTAGCCTGCATTCTTGTAGATAATTGGGTGCTGTTTTTACTTATTTACTTATTTTCCCCAGCCTTGGTCGCCACGAGAAGGCAGCTAGCTCATTAGCAGTCCACGCATAGTTGCTCTGCTGTTTCTCTCATTTGGAACAAACCAGGCCAGGGCCAACTGAAACTGAACCACGTCCACAGACTCCCCCCTGAGGCACCTGCCAGTTCCAACGCTCAGGAGGACCGCAGGAGGGGGAGGGACAGCGGTAAGAAATAAACTGAGGCACGTTACACATTTCCACAGTTTATTTGAGCAAAAAAGATTCTAATCGGGAGCACCGAACCAGAAGTGGTTAGGAGCGCCCCACCCACAGGGAAGGACTCATGTGGCCCAGGGGCAGACGCGTCCACAGTTTATTTGAGCAAAAAAGATTCTAATCGGGGAGCACCGAACCAGAAGTGGTTAGGAGTGCCCCACCCACAGGGAAGGATTCATGTGGTCCAGAGACAGACGCGAAGAAGGGAAGTTATTGGCTGGCTGTGGTTTAGAGCCCAGCTGGCTCCTTGGGAGCGGTTGTTCTTCGTGTTTTGATTGATTCCATAACCACCAGGCAGGCCCTGGCTGAGATTTCTGTTTCTTTGTGGGGGTGTCCTCACATTGAGCCTCCTTGTTTAACGAGCTTCATGACAGGGACCTGAATTACGGGGTCATAGGTCAGTGCTCCATTTCACTCTAGACCACGCGTCTCATTGTATACTGAAAAAGGGGGAGAATGGAGCCTCAGACCCCACAAACACAACCAGGGGCAACCAGTGAATTAAGCTGCAATATATTAAGGTGTTTTTGTCTTCCATCCACTTATTCCGGTGGCCCTAACTCCTCTACCTAGATAGATGTCTGATGGTACAGTTACATATCGTTACGAAAGTTTTAACCTTGCTTTCTCTTCTAAGAGCGATGTTCTTAAACTAGTAATTTTTAAAACCCGAATCTTAAAGCTATGCCGGTGACCTCAATTCTCAACTTCCTGTTGCCGGGTAGAACTGCCATTTGAATGCACAGCTTCTAATTTCCGGAGACCCACCCACATGGTTTTGCCTGCGGCAGGTTTCGGACAGGAGGTGCTCTGGAGGATAAGGAGGGATTTCCCCGCAGAGCTGTGACCTTCAGCCATCAGCCGTGGCATTTTTCCCTGGCTGGTCATCCACTAGGACTCATTAAACCATTTGACCCTAATGAGGATAAGAACCAGCTCCAGGAGCGATAGTGATTGGTGGAGACTTTGTTAACTATTATGGATTTGAATGTAGTAATGCCTGTTTCTAGTCTGAGATGGAACAATCAAGCATTCCAGTGGATAGCCACTATTTTTCAAAAGGAAGCAAAATAAATGAATTCTATAAGACAACTGCCACACTTAGCTGCTATTAGGTTTAGAGGTCTGTGTGCACGCACATGTATCCATGTGTGTGTGCACGCACGTATGCGCGCACACACGTGTGCATATGCACACATATACATGTGTGTGGGTGCACATACATGTATGTGTGTGTGCGCGCACCTTGGTGTTTCCTGGGAACGGCAGGCACTGAAGTGGGAGCTGAGAGTGTGTGGCAGCTCGGGGGGCAGCAGACAGAGCTGCCCGCAGTACTGAGCTGCCCATCACTCAGCAGGTCAGGAAAGGGCCCCTTTTTCTCTGTGCTGGCAGGGCTGAGAGATTAAGGCGAAGGCCTGAATTATTTTCTAATTATCTTGCAGAGCATCCAGATTTTTTATGGTCTTAGCAGCCGTGCTGTTAGCTGAGATAAATGCTTGGGAACGAAAGTGAAATGGAAAGTGCCAGCCCTCGCACGCATCCCCGACACATTGCGGGGCGCTCAGGCTATTACGAGCTCTTCAGTGTAGAGGGGGCAGATGCTCCTCGGCCTATGACGGGGTTCCGTCCCCATAACCCACCGTAAGTCCAAACGATCATAAACCACAGATGCATCTAATGCCTTGAACCTGCCGAAGGCCCTAGCTCAGCCTCGCCCACCTTAATGGTGCTCAGAGCATCCCGCTAGCCCACAGGTGGGCGATTCTCTTGCGTTCCATCTCGAGCCATTGCCTCCTCTTTTTTGCCCCAGAAGCAGGGGACACGGGTGGGTGTTTTGTAGACATGGCGGGATGTGGTAACTCAAAACACACACCGAGAACACACTGGCCATGCTGAGCATCAGAGGGTCACCCTCGTCACCCTGCCACCCGGCATCAGAGAGAGTATCCCGCCCCACAGCACGTGGGTGTTTTGTAGACATGGCGGGATGTGGTAACTCAAAACACAACACCGAGAACACACTGGCCACGCTGAGCATCAGAGGGTCACCCTCGTCACCGTGCAGCTGACGGGGAGCCCGGCTTGCCCCGCCACCTGGCATCACGAGAGAGTATCCCGCCCCACAGCATATCACTAGCCCAGGAGAGATCAAAATTCAGAATGTGAAGTGCGGTTTCCGCTGAATGCGTGTCACTTTCACTCACCATAAAGTCGACAAATCCTAAGCGGAACCATCGTTAAGTTGGGGACCAATGCACTCACTTTTGTTTTCCCCGGGTCAGCTTTCCTCCAACCTGTGGAGAAGCTGCCCTGTGCTTACCTGCAGCCACAGTCACCTGCTGCAGGTGATGGCAGAACCCTCCTGCAGCCCGGCCCCCACACCGCTGCCTCGTGGCCTCGGCTGCTTTGCCTGCCGTGCAAATGGGAAATCCAGGCCCTCCCTCCGGGAGGGGTTGGTGCAGCCTGGGGGACGGACTGGGGACAGTGACAGCGAGGGGGGCTCATCCTCAGAGTGGGCAGGAGGAGGGAGGGTGAGACGGGCGATGAGCACTGCAGCTCCCGCTTTTCTGTCCCTGCTGGTGCCTCCCAGTGGCTGAGGAGGACAGGAGACCCCGGTGAGGCCTGCCGAGGTGGAGGGAATGCGGGAGGGACAGCGGGGTACACGGATGGCTCCACGGAGCTCCTCGCGGTGGGTGCCTCTGTGTGAGCCTCTGTGGCTGCTAGAACAAGTCATCCCAAACCGAGCAGCTTAAAACAACGCAGATGTGTTATCTCACAGCCCTGGAGGTCGGAGCCCAGCAGAAGCCTCCGTGGCCGGGGCGGAGCTGTGTTCTTCCTGGCAGCTCCCAGAGGAACGCACTCCCACCTCTCCCAGCTCTGGTGGCTGCAGGGCAGCACCTTCGCAGTGCTCTGGCCCACTCCTCGGAGTCCCCCTCCCACACTTAGGGCTCCCAGCTCTGGTGGCTGCAGGGCAGCACCTTCGCAGCGCTCTGGCCCACTCCTCGCGATGCCCGGGGGCCTGCCTGGAGGATCCAGGGTTGCCTTCCATCTCAAGGGCTGCTCTTTGGCAACCTTCATCTCCCTCGGCCTCATAACTAATCCATCCCCAGGCTCCGAGGGTTAGGGCGTGCACGTCTTTGGGGTCTTATTCTGCAACCCACCGTCGTGATCCCTGCTTTACAGGAGAGGGAATGAGAGAGAGTAGGGTAATCACTTGACCAAGGTTACTCTGCTGTGAATTGGGGGCCGGGACCTGCACCCTGTGGGTCTGACTCCACAACAACGCGGTGCTCTGAGGCTGTGATCAACACGAGCTCTGGGAGCCTGGGCCCTGAGCCTGCGGCAGGGGCAGCCGGGGACAGCAGCCGCGGGCTTCACATTGATGGGTCCCAGCCACCACCGGCTGCACTCGCTCTGTAAACGTTTTAGTCTTTTACATTCAAGACAAACATACATACACTGTCCCCATGGGCACACACAGCTGTGACACTAAAGGGTGCTTTCCCGAGCTGCGTGTGCCCAGGGACAGTGTACACGGTCTCTAGCCACAGGGCGCCAGGGGCCACGCTCAGCATGATCCGAGACCAGGGTCCATGGAAATGTGGACCCTTCCCCCCCCTCTACCCAGAACTCCCCCACCCCGCTCTCTGGGAGGAACCCTGACCGTCCCATGGACCCTGTCCCACCTCCGACCCCACCGGTGGCCTGGCCTACGCTCCTCTTTGCACAATGAGAGAATCAGGCCACTTGTTCCCATAGTTCCGTGTCAGCGCCCACCCTGGCCAGGCTCTGTAAGGCGACCCCTGCACCCATGCCCACGCGGGGACACGGCGGTGAGAGGTGGCTTCCTGGGGAAACTCACATAGAGAATGAGGAGCAGGGCGCCAGGCCGTGGCGATGCCGGGGAGCGTTGGCAAACCGCTGTGCCGGCCAGGACGGGAGTCATAATGTTCATTTTTCCTCTCTTCCTCCTGGAGACAAATATGAAACATCCAGGCACCGTTTCACTTTTTCATTCCCAAAGCTCATCAAACATTGACGGAGCCGACCTTCTCGGGATGGGAGGAGGGGAACTGTCTTCAAAATCAGTTTGGCTTTTTGAAGTAGACGCGGAGCCAGCACTGAAGGGCAGGCGGCCTGCGGGAGAAATCTGATCATCCATCGCGGGAGACGAGAGGAGGGGCCCGCTTTGGGGGTTCACGCACAGGGACGCCAGGCAGACGTGGAATGGAAGGGCAGGGGCGAGGGGTGGACACCCACCTCCGTCTCCCGTCCTCTGGCCCCTCGGAGAGCCTGGCTGCCCAGTGGCGGGGCGGGGACACTGGTCCGCTCTAAGGGAGTCAGGTTTCTCTTTGGCGGCCATGAAAGGATGCGCTCCCAGAGAACGCTGGCCGCAGGGTTGGAGGTCCATCATGAAGGGGCATCTGTTTGCCCGGTTTCCCGATGAGTCTGCAGGGAAGCCGCCTGGTGGTTTGCCAAGCAGAGTGCTGACGCTCCTCTGTCCTAATCCCACTGTCTTCCAGCCGAGCACAGCGACGGGTCGGGCTCCGAAGACGGCCTGGAAGACCCGACCGTGAAAACCAAGAGGAACCGGTAGGTGTCCTGTCCTTCCTCTGGCTCTTCCCTCGGCAGGGGATTAGGTGGCGGAGAAAGAAAAGGACTGTTGGGCTCTGTTGACCGAGCAAAGCAGGGATTCAGCGCTGAACAGAGGCGGGAGGTCTGAGGTTCATCTCAGCGACGACACGTGGTGGGCAGGCGTCTCGGTGGCTCTGGCCTCTGGAGCCTGTAGGAATGGACAGGGGTGACCAGGGGCTGGGTGGTGCCCTGAGCTGGGTGAGGGGTGGGTTTGGGGTCTGACAGCTCCGGGTGGGCATTCAAGCTCTGTCCCGCTGGCTTTGGGATTTGAGGCAAAGCAATTCCACCTTCATCTCGGGGTTTTCATTTGTCAAAGGCGACGGCAGAAGCTTGAGGTGACGCCTGCGTGAGCTGACCCCATGTGGCTTCCTGTCACCCTCGGGGAAGGGTGGCTCAGTGAAACCCTTTCCCCAGGAGAGACCTTTCCCACCCCACTCGGCCAGGATGGAGCGGGTACCCAGGCAGTGTGGCCTTGGGGCCGCCCTCTCCCTCGGGACAATGATGGCCGGAGCGAGCTTTATGAAAGTATCCGAATTTACTTTTAGTTGACGGCACCAAAGTCATTCAGCCATGAGAATATTAAAAATCTATTTAGCAAGTTTGCATTTGCCTTTGGCCAGTTCTGATTGAACCGAGAGCTCGGGCTGCAAGACGCCCTGAGCTCCTGAACCACATATTTTGTTGAATGAGCTTGAGCGTGAGATCGGCGCCGAGCTCCCGGCACTATTATTCATCTTATTTCAAGTTACAACAATACGAGTCTTGTTTCCATGCTTCTATTTTTAACCAATGGAAATCTTTTACGAAGAAATCCTAATTATACTCTTCGGATTATACAATTGCAAATCCACTGGTAATTTTCTTTTTTCAAAATTCCACACCATCACCTATGAAGCAAAGCTTGTACATTCTCCTGAAATAGTTGGTGTATAAATAAGATTTCCTAATGGGCTGAGCAATCATTTCTTTTCTTTGCCCATTTTGCATTAGTAGGATTCTTCCCTATTGCAACCCTCGTGGGTGAAAACCCTTGTGAGACACAGAACATGCTTAGCAGGCCCCCCGCCCCCGCTTGGTCGGATGGATGCTCACAATACCCTGGACAGACGGGCAGGAAGGCTACGTGCTTGGAGGGTGTCGGGAGGTGGGGACTCGCCTGGTCCTGGCCACTAGGTGACCATATGACCTTGAACGGTCCCATCGCCTCCTCCCCAAATGCAGTCGTGCAGACTGCCCGGCATCCTGAGAGACCCCAGGTAGGCGCACCGTCCCCGAGGAGGGCTGTCCTGAGCATCGCAGGGCTAGCAGCACCCCTGACCCCCACTCCTGGGAGCTGGGAGCACCTCCCCAGTGTGACCACCACAGATGTCTCTGGACACTGTCTAGTGTCCCGGAAGCAAGTCACCCCGACGAGCACTGGGCTAGACGCACGTCAGAAAGTCCGGACGTGCCCTAGCCGGTTTGGCTCAGTGCATAGAGCGTCGGCCCACGGACTGAAGGGTCCCAGGGTCGATCCCAGTCAAGAGCACATACCTCCGTTGCAGGCTCGATCCCTGGCCCTGCTAGGGCAAATGTGGGAGGCAACCAATGGATGTGTCTCTCTCTGTCTTTCCCCCTCCATTCTACTCCCTCTAAAAAAAAAAAAGAAAAGAAAAAGCCCGGATGTGACTGTGTGAGGGACTTTACCCACTGAACCCCCTGAGCCCCGGGGTCCCGGTCTCCCTGTTGTCACTGAAGTCTCATTTTGGGTTGGAACTCAGGACACCTGCCATACCCCGAGGGGTGACAGAGCAGTTTCCCCATCACCGTCCTCCAGGCGTTTGTGCAGAACCAAGGCCTCTCCCGGAGAAAACGGAGCCAGGTGTGAACTCCGATGATTTGTGAGACTCGGCCTCCTTCCCCGTGGGTCCGTGGCTGCTCGGCCCTCCGGTGCCCCCTCCACCAGCTCCTCGCCGGCTGCCCATCAGTTAGGGTTTCGGTCTCAGCTTTCCGCCCGAAATGCACCAAAGCAGCTTGCACGGCGAGAGCCGACGCCTCCACCTCCGCTGGGGTGACTGCGCCAGGATTTAAAATGAGTTTCCTGAGAATAAGAGTCTTTGTTGACAAAGAGCTCCTCCGAGGGCTTTGGAGGCCGTGATGGGGTGCGTTTAACTCTCTGTGTCTTGTGCCCCAAAGGACCGAAGGCCGCGTGAGCCCTGGCCCCGAGGAGGCGGAGAGAGAGGACAAGGGCGCCAGGACGCCGCCGCCCCAGATCCTCCTGCCGCTGGAGGAGCGGGTGACCCACTTCCGAGACATGCTCCTGGAGAGAGGGGTAAGCACCCGGACCCAGGGCCGGCTCTCGGAGCGAGGAACCGCGCCGCTGTCCCCCAGTCACGGAGGTCACTTCCAGGAAGCTCCTGTCTGTGTTAAGAGTCCTCCTGGCGCCCGGCCAGCTTTCAGGGTCCACCCCAACCAGGGGGACCCCCTGGGCTTCCTGACTCAGGCAGGGTCTTCACGACTCTGGGTTCGTCTGACTGTTTTTCGTTTCCAAGCTTTCTCCATTGCAGGTGGCTACGCATCCCATGTTGAACTTAATGGGGGGAAACACGTTATAATCGAATCTCCTCCCGGTGCCTTTTATGTCCTGCTCTGGCCTTTGGGTAGGAAACGCGCTGAAACACGCGGTGAGCCCAGTCGGACTTCTTCAGAAATGAGACTGAGCGCAGAGGCAGCCACGGGGCCCTGTGTGCGAGCGTAATCGCAGTGAGCGCTGTCGGTGACCTTGGGGATTCCAAAGCAAGTTCCGCACAGTCAGCACCCGGGCAGGTGCCGTGGGAACTGGGGTGCGGGGCCGTGGGGAAGAGAGCTCCCCCAGAACAGCGGTCTGAGCAGGGCCCCACAGAGCCGGGCTGGAGCGCGGGCACCAGGAACAGAAGGTCCCCGCTCTCAAGGATCAGAAGGGGGTTCTCGCAGCCACTCTCCCCGGAGACGCCCCCCTCCTTTGCAACGGGACTTTTAATGCCCCCCCTTGCTTCCTTTACCGACCGTTCACCCCCAAATAAAACGCAGCCTGGACCACAGGGGACTGGAAAGGAAAGCGGACGCGTGAACTGAAAACCACAGTGCAAGGGCTTTCCCTGAATTAGCACGTCACCGAGGAACACAAAGGCGCAAGGCGGGGAATGCCAGGGACACGCGGGAGGAGGTCCTGGTGGGAGGAGGTCGCTCTTTGTTTTTTAAGGACGTGATTTTAAAACTAGATGTATCTATTAAGCTGCAAATTCATTTTAGAAAGGGTCCTAGTCCCTCGGACCAGGATGAAAAGAACCGGGGCCAGGGCGGGGCTTAGGGTGCACCTGGCGTCCTGCCCCTTCCTGCTCAGCCATCTGCCCGCCCTTTCTCTGGGCGTCCCGGGGGATGTCAGCCATGCGAGGCCCATGGAGATGGAGATGCCCTCCCTGCCACCCAATGGAGTTGCTCGTTCTGGGGCCATCGGACTGGCCTCGTGGTCCTGGAGGCTAGTACCCAGTGTCACCGCGGGTCACCAGCTGTGGTGGCCGCCCTGCCCGCCCGCCCCTCCTTCCACTCTTGGCATGGGGTCCCCTTCCTGGCCCTGCCTGCTGCCCCTGCCCCGGCTTCCGTATGAAGCTCTGCCTCCCTCCATGTTGCCCGGCTACTGAGCGAGCCGCAGCTCCTGGAGCATCGGGGCCTCCCGACATTTCTTGAGGCTTCATCTTATTCAGATCTACATTTTCATCTCTTTGCTTTGGAAACCCACCAGCCCCAATTCACCGTCACCGCATCACACTGACCTGCGTGAGCTCAGGGCTGCCCGAGGGACCCCCCTTCCCTTCCCGGGGACGCCGGCCGGCTGCGTTTATATGGGCTCATGAATTGATCCCAGTGGCCTTGGTTGAGCGGTTTTCCTAATGAGATTTCCAGAGCATCCCTGCCTCACGGAGGTGGGAGGCTCCGTTCGGCCTTAGATCCTCACCCCTGAGCATTGGCCACGGGGAAGGAGAGCCCCAGCCGGGTGTTGGGTTCCCGGGGAGAGAGGCTGCGGTGGAGCCCGAGCCCAGACCTCAGGCCTCCTGAGCAGTTCCGAGGAAGCCCACACGCAGCCCCCGGGTAGCAAAGACCGACTGAATGACTGCTGATGGCAGAGAGCAAGGCCGCTGTTTATGGCTTTGACTTTATAAAACATGCAGGCAGACTTCATAAGTTACTTGTGCCCATGAGGATGCTATAGCTGAGCCCATCAGATTTCTAGTCGCTTAACAATGAGGCACAGAAAGGTCACTTTTTCATGAGCTGCGTGATTAATACGATGTTTCATTGCCTTTGTCCAGAAATGCATGTGCTTATGGAGTGATGAGGCGAGGTCCTGTGGGTTTCTAGTTTACAAGGGGCACATTTGAGGCATTCCTGGGCTTGGGGTGGGGGCAGGGCCTTCGGCTTTGTGGTTTGGTAGCAGGTAATTGATGGCTCCGTGGAAGCTTTTGTTTTTATTTTGTTTCCCTGCACAAACCACAATGCAGCCTCCTGGTAAACTTCAGTGTCTAAAGGGGCCAGTGTAATTGAACCTCAGGTTATTCATCTAATCCCGCCTATGTAGGTAAATGAGTTCAGAATGATTTACGGGGACCTTCTTCCTTCTGCAAGGCCTCCCTCGGAAGTGAGTATGGCTTTCCCAGGAGCCGGGAAGGGGAAGGACTCTCAGGAGCCCTCGCTCTTCATTCGGGGACTCGGGGCTGCAGGTGCGTGGGGTCCTCACAGGGCCCCTCTGTGGGTGACCCTGGGCCCGCTTCCCGGCCACCAACACAGGCCAGCTCCTGGGGTTTGGCTCCGAGTGTTAGATTGAGGACATTGCAGATGGCACACTCACCCCAGCCCGGTCACCCGGTCTCCACCTGCACTAAGACAGCCACCGACCCAAGGTTGTTGGGGTGAAGTTGGTACAAATGAAGCAGAGGCTCGTTATGGGGGGCCCGGGGCTGACGGGGCAGCTGGCGCCTTCTCCCAGGCAGCAGGAGGGCCCCACCTGTGAGTGATGGGTAAACGGTGTCGCTCTCGGGACTGCCGTGGCACTTGGGCCAGCACATGTGCTGTAAGGGCTTGCTCGTCCTCATGTGCAGGTCACAGGTGGCGGGGAGGTGGCCCTGGACGTGAGGGAGAGGAACGATGTGTGACTCGAGTCCTGGGCGCCGTGACGTCTGCTCCACAGGGTGCCTCTTTGCTCCTTGGGAAGCTTATCTGCCTCGGGTTCCTATGGCAACGCTTCAAAATCTCACAAGACACATAATAATACCGCTAATAAAGTTATGCTATAAAAGAATGCATGCTTATTATAGAAAATGTGCACAATATTAAGAGTATAAATAAGAAAAATCCCCTGAAATGTCACTCTAAGACAGTACATTCATTGGGTACATTTTCTCCCAGTCCTTTTTTAAAAGTATTAAGAATGAGCATTTGATCTTACAGCATAATGAATATTGAACTGTGCTATAGTTAAATGTGGCTGAACATTAATTTTTTAAATATATATTAAACATTAATATTTTACCTAGTTTATACACTTGTATACTATTTCCTCCTTTTAATAATTTAAAAAATATTAATATACATTTTTGGAAAACATTTCTTGATGACGCATAAATTGTTGGTTCAAAAATCCTGCATTTCCTTTTTTTAGTGCATCTTGCATTTAGCTGTTTTAAATGATGCTATGATGGTGCAC